ATATCTAATTTCAAGTTACCCATGTGACGTCATCAGGAGCCAGCTCCAGCCTGGCACTGCCCCTAATGCAGACACATTTTCCTCTCCTGGCATTACATCATGGGAAATTTTGCACGCTTCTCCTTTGAGGGACTATGTTAGAAAATGGAGGAAGGATACTCTCAAGGTCCCAGAGGAGAAGAAAAAAGTTGTCCTTAGATGAACTATCAGTCATATTGGCTATAAACATCAAGAGTAGCCTGGCAAAGTGTCCATGTCGTTTCCATAGTGCTTGAGTCTGGCCAACTCCCCTTTTTGACTGTCCATTCTAAGTAGGAGCTGTATTGATTTCCTAGGGCTGCCATAACAAAGTACCACAAGGCTGGTGGCATAAACAACAGAAACATATTGTATAGCAGTTCTGGAGGCCAGAGTCCAAGGTGAAGGCGTTGGCAGGGCTTGTTTCTTCTGAGGGCTATGGAGGAAGGATCTCTTCTCTCTCTTGCTCCTGGCATTTTGTGGTTTGTTGCCAATCTTTTATGTTCCTTGGCTCGTAGAATCATCACCCCAATCTCTGCTTTCATTTTCTCATGGTGGTCTCTCTGTGTCCAAATGACCCTTTCTATACGGACACCAGTCTTATTGGATTAGGGGGCCCACCCTGCTCCAGTATGACCTCATCTTAACTAATCACATCTATAATGACCCTATTTCCAAATAGGATCACATTCTAGATACTGGGAACTAGGACTTCAACATATAAATTTTGGAGGACACAATTAAACCCATAACAGCGGGGGAGCATATGGTCTTTTATTTCTGTTTAGACTGTTGAAAGAATTCAACAGCTCAGAAAAAACGTCATCAGAGGGCTGAAAGGCCAGGACGAATACAGATGACTGCCATTTGAAGTCATTGGGATAGAAAAGAAAGGGGCTGTGCTATCAACCATCTAACAGTTAATCTCTAACTGATCCTTCAAGTTTTAAACCTTTCCAAAAGAACCTCCCTTGGAATCTAGCAGGCGGAAGATGCCTCCCCTAATTTTGGGCCCAAATCCCCCTAACACATTGGAGTGGAGCAGATGGCAGTTGGGTAGAGGCTGACAGGTTGTGATAAAGGAGGGTGCTAATGGGACCTAGTCCAAGAAGTGCCATGTGAGCATAAACCTCAAGGAGGAGAAAACATTGATTGAAGAGATAAATATGTAAAGTCAGTGAGAAACAGCAAGGTGAGAGTGGCCGAGCCCCATGATTGCAGGGCCCTAGTGGGGATCTCTACACACTCTTTGGTCAGCGTCCTGCAGCCACCTTGGGTCTAGAACATGTCTGGTTCCAGTCTGCATAAGGTCCTGCCTGAACCCATCCTGTTGCCCTCATCACTCCTCCTACATCTTTACGATAATAAACACATTCAGTTGAGCTGCCTGGGTCTCTGTTCCTGTAACTGAGAGATACAGTAGAGCATATGGCGCAGTCAGCTGTCAACCCATCCAAGGCACCACCCTGATGAGGACATGCAGTGCCATGACCTCTAGAAAATGAGTTACCTCTACTGCCCTTTTCTACACATCGTGGCCTTTTTAGAACAATATATATTATGGTCTTAGCATCTTAGGGTTACATGATACGCATCCTTTCAAACTTTAATGAGATTTTGTTAAGATGCAGATTCTGATACATCAGGTAGGGTGGGTAGGGTGGGGCTGAGATTCTAGGTTTCTCACAAAGTCCCTGGTGGGCCAGTTGCCACACTTTGAGAAGTACTGATGTGGCTATCTTGCAAAAGAAGAAAGTGAGGAATGGAGAAACTAAGTCACTAATCTGAAGTCCCACAGCCAATGAGGAACAGGTATCCCAGCTCTCAAGCTCAGTTCTCCACGTATTCATGCCAATCCTTAAACAGCAATCCCTGCCCAGAGGAAGCAAACCTCCTGTCATTCAATGTCAGCCACCTCATGAAGATGGAGATATGGACAAGCTAAGCCAGTGATGGTGAACCTGTATGAGCTCGGCGTGTCAGCATTTTGAAAAACCCTAACTTAACTCTGGTGCCGTGTCACATATAGAAATTTTTTGATATTTGCTACCATAGTAAAACAAAGACTTATATTTTTGATATTTCTTTTATATATTTAAATGCCATTTAACAAAGAAAAATCAACCAAAAAAATGAGTTCGCGTGTCAGAGGTGTCATAGGTTCGCCATCACTGGGCTAAGCAGAAAAGTCCGTCATTCTGAGCGATGATTCCATTCATGTGCTTCCTCCCATGTGGAGCTAGTGGAAGCTCTGGTTGGAAGAGAAATTGTGGCTGGAAGGATACAAAGGCCTTGATGGGCCTGGTTGTGTTCCAATAAAATGTTATTTGCAAAGATAGCTGGTAGGCTGGATTTGGCCTGTAAGCCAAGGTTAGCTGACCCATGTTCTAAGGTTGACTTACTGTTTACTATTGTTTAGGGCCCAGATGCTGTCAATTTTTGTCCAAGGAGAGCTTTAGTCCATTAAGACTAGGATTGTGTGTGAGCAAGCAACAACTTGAGGATCTAAAGTTAGATTTTTCATGCCTAAATTTACTCTAATCAAGCTGAGCTCATTTAATCAATTCTTTTTTTTTTTTTTTTTTTTTTTTTTTTTAGATTTAATAATTTGTTTATTGTAGATTTTACTAGGAATAATTTTAGGCTGAACGCTTAAAAAATGCAATCAATAACGTAATTATCACCATAAACTGAATGCTGATTCTTGAACTTCAGATGTTTCCAGGTTTTGAAGGATTCATGGTATGCACAACTCTACTCTTCTACATGTAGTTGAGGCTGTAATCCTTTTGTAACTGCCCTAATGCCTTGGCATAATCAATTCTTTTACAAATTTTATGCTGCTTCATATTCAGAAGCTTAGATTCAATAGGATTACAAAAATTGACATAGGGACAAAAGCTAAGGAATGATTTTGGAGGCCATGGTTGGCAACGAGAAGGGAAGAAAGGGGTAGCAGTTGTACTCACAACTGTAAACTTACTTTTCCCCCACTCTGTATGTTCATAGGACACGAATCAGTACCTGAGATATCTGCACTCCATACTTATTGCAGCATTATTTATAACAATCAAGACACGGAAGTAGCCTGTGTGCATTGATACAAGAGTGGATAAGAAAATGTTGATATATTCACAGTAGAATATTATTCAGCCATAAAAAAGAAGAAAAGCTGCCATTTGTGACAACATGGATGGAAGTTGAGGGCATTATGTTAAGTAAAATAAGTCAGAGAAAGACAAATACTGTATGACCTCACATGTGGAATCTGAAGAAACCAAATTCATAGAAACAAGAGAGTAGAATGCTTGTTACCAGGGGCTGTAGGGGTGGGGATGAGGGGGTTGAAAAGATGTTGGTCAAAAGGGTACACATTTCCAGTTCTATGATATGTAAGTTCTGGGTATCTAATGTCCAGCATAGTGACTATAAAAAATAAAAGAAGGCATGGCATATTGTAACTCTTAAAAAAAAAAGTAAAAGAAAAAGTAAACTTCACCTGTCCTAATTTTCTTCAATATTTTTACCTTTTTGGGCTACTGTTAAAAATAGTATTTTGTCCCTATACCTCTTTTAGTGTTATAAATGTATAAGTAATGAATTTATATATTTCCACATACAGACTGTAAATAATTTAAATATATACATAGAATAGGTGCATTTTACACTTTATAATAGTGCTGGTTTATGTATCCAAATATGGCTATGGGCATTTCATCTAGTTGAAATTTGTCAAAACCCAAGAAGCAAAATTAAAAAAAAAATTCCTAAAATGGATTTCCTAGTGCCCATATTCTACGCATCATATTCTTGCCTGGCCCCTCACTTAGGACCTAATTACTCTCACTCTACACACCATTGTTGTCATCTTTGGCCTGGGATTCCCACACGGTGGCTGAACAGAGAAGTAACCTGGGTGTCACCCTGATGGCAAATCCAATCCTGAATGAAGACCTCATGTGGCAAAATGACTACACTGCCTCGTGGGTGTGATGGCACCGACAGGGAGAGATTCTGAATTCAGCGCATTGCAAGAACATGTGAAAACACAACATTTCGGTAAGTCTTCCAGCCACAAGTCTTCCAGCTGAGGCCCAGGAACGGGGAACAGGGACAAGCATCCCCACGGGGCCACCTGAATTCCTGATCCACAGACACCACGAGCCTAGTGACACACCCTGCTTCATGCATAGAGTGTGGGGGCTGTGGGTTAAGCTTCCACATGGCCAGGGTAGGCACCAACCCTCTGGGGGGCATGGCCCAGTCCCAAGCACTTGTGTATTTACCTCATTTGCACCGGACAAAGATCCCAGGAAGAACGTATTGTTATCACCATTTTACAGGCAAGAAAACTGAGGCACAGCGAGGTCAAGTCATTTTCGGATAGACGCTTAGACACCGAGTCACACCTGGGACCTGAAGCCAGGGAGACTCTGACCCCAGAGCCTGGCAGGCTCGTCTGGGTGGCCGCTGCCCTTGGATCTCAGCAAGGGAATCCCCGCTGCCCTCTGCCTTGGTCCCATCTCCTTGGCTCTGCCTGTTCCTGGGCTAATACTGTCTGGGAGGCCATGGAGGCGTTGTGGGTTTACATCCCCCGCTGGATCCACGCGGGGTTTGCACAGACGCCCCACTGCCTGCGGGCTCTCCTGTCAGGCCCCTTCCTGTGGGCACCAGGGCAGAACAGGACCCTCCTTCTACCCTCTCCTTTTCAGGGGCCCGGCGTGCTCACTGCCTGCATCTGAAGGCGCCCCTGCCTCCTCTGGCCTTCCCCCTCCACCCTCTCTCCTCCACAGACGTCCATCTCCTTCAATAACTCTGCATGCCTAACCCTGTTTTGGGGTCCTTTTTTTTTTTGCAGAACCGGGGCTAAGCATAGGGTCACAGCCCACCTCTGCCCCTGCACTTCCCCTTCCTCCTCTATCGTCACCTCCTCTCCACCCGCGTGTTGGACCAGGGCCTCCTGTTGGCAGGACCGACGTTACCTTGTTCACACCATCCGCCATCGCCTGAAGCGTGAGCTCCCGGGGCCCGTCCACCGTCTTCCCGTTGTCTGTGGGGCCCCAGCTGGCGCTGTAGATGTCGATCAGCTGGGGCATGTGGCTGATGGAGGAGGCCTCAATGATGTCCGTCATGAACGGCTGGTCCAGCATCCGAATACCTGTGGACACGGTGGGCAGGGAAACACGGGGTTTTGGTCCCCAGTTCCCAGGAGACACGTGGAAGGAAGGCTCAGGTCTCGGGTGCGGCTGGAGGGTCCTCCATCCTGGGTGCCCTGGGGACGCTGCGGAATCCGGAGCCCAACCTGGGTGTGGTGTGTGGGCTACACCTTCAGAGGATCAAGCGGGAGGCATAGACGGGCCCACCCACCCTTTTGGGACCCCACCTTCACCTTTCCTTATGCAACTATTTGAGGACGATCTTATTCCCCTAGCAAACTTAGCTACAGTTCCCAAAGGGGAGAGCCCACCTTGGTTGAGGACATTCCTGTCTCTAAGTGGAAGGCCAGCCTCTGAGACTGGGTGTTGACTGGGGCCAAGCCTCAGAGGAGAAATAAAGTTACTGTGCACGACAGTGAGGGGGAGGCAATAGATATTAGATATTGCAGAAGAAATCCCAGAGGACAGAGGGCAGAGGGCAGAGGGCAGAGGGCAGAGGGCAGGAGGGGCAGGGAGAGTGTAGGTAAGTGCAGGGTCAGGAAAAGAGGAACTCTCGGTCTCATTGCATCTGAGAAGGGCCTTTGGGAAGGACAAATGTTGCGTGGCTTATTCTAAAATACACTAGGAATGGGGTGCGTGTACAACCCCCTCCTCTTTCTCCTCTACGGCTTCTTTGTAAAGTTGGCATTACTCTCTGATGCCTGTGGGAGCGACTCCTTGCTGGGCAGCTGAAAAGGAGCAGCCTGCTGCAGTCCTGGACTGTGTGTGTGTGTATGTATGTGTGTGTATGTATGTATGTCTATGTGTGTGTATGTGCTTATGTATGTGTGTATGTATGTGTATGTGTGTACGTGTGTGTGTGTGTGTGTGTGTGTGTGTGTGTTTGTAAACCTGAACAGGGCGGAGGCACACGGAAACGGGGCACGCCTGTGCCACCTGTGGTTCACGTCACCCTCTGGAGGTCCGTAGAAAGCCTTTCCAGGGTTAACTCAGCTGCAGCCAACAGGATGGGCTTTCTGTCCCTCCATCACTAATCTCCAAACATTGCCCTTTGGGGCCATATTGTTCTCTGCTTGATACACTGTTTTGTGGCAAGGAGCCTAGAATTTTAGTCCCCTGACCTAAGTCTTTCTGTCCACGGGAATTTTGAAATGAAGAGGCTGGGCTGCACACAGTGAAAGCTTGGATGCGGACACTCCTTACTCATCCCCCATGACCAAAGGACATCATTGCGCAAGCATCACTCTCACATGGCACGCAACCCAGTTTAAATAAGGACAACTATGGTTCTTGCAGGACGCGTGAAACGGACATAAAATTGTCTTCTCTCTTAAGGGCCTCTCTTTCCTCCTCAACATCCCATAGCCACCCTTGTGCCTGCATAGCAGCTTCCCCCAGTGCTCACCCTCCTCCTGACTACCCTCCGCGTTCAGCAGGCATTTCCCCGGAAGCCTTCCTGGACCCAGCTCTCCGGGTTTTCCATTAGCACCACACTTTCAGCCTCCCAGGACAAGTGTTTGTGTGCTTCATTCGCCACCAGAGGGCAAGGTCTTTGAGTACAGGGCATGTGTCTATTTTGTTCACGTCTGTGTCGCAGGGCATCAGCATGGCGCTTGGAGTTTATCTTAAGCTTGATAAATATTTGGTGAATAAATGCATAGGATTATTACTTTATGTAGTCCATTTTCTCCCTAACAGAAATAACAGGTCCAGAAGAACAAATAATAACAGGTTCAGATTTTCCATCCTCTGCCATTAACTTACAAATCAACACACCATTTTTGCCAACAAATATCCAATTATGAGTTAATATCCTTTTCTCCTGGAGGAAGCTCATCCAAAATAAGCATGGTTTGAACTTTCTGAGAGCTAAGTTTTATGGTTCATTTTATAAAAGAGAGAAAATTGAAAACAATCTTTTGTTTTTGGTCCATCTACGTTTTACTTATTTAAAAAATTTGTTCAACAAAGGTGGCCCACAGGTCACAGAATAAACCAAATAGTGCAGCTGCTTCTTGTAAGAAGTCATGCCCACTTTGTGGATGGGGAAACATCGCAGAGAGGTTGGTATTCTTTTTCTTGCAAGAAGAAAACTCAGATGGTCTTGAATTTGTCCAGTGCCCAGATGCCAGGACTGAACAGCCACCTTAACTGGAAGGTGAGAGAAATTTGAACTTGGCCAGCGTAGGTCTGGACTGTCCCACCACATGCCAGCCAATGGCAGCACTAGATTTTGTCATACAGCCAGTGCCTGGTGCATTCAGCCGTGTCCTATACCCTCTCTATTTGCAGTTCTCATCCCCCTGCCTCTCTCCCTCTTCATTCCCTCCCTGGCTCCCTGTTTACGGTACAGACATCAAGCTGGTGTGCATTAATCTTCTGACTGTTTCAGCATCGAGGGAAGCAAGGGCGCCAGAGACTGAAAGCAAAGCACTCATTCATATTCAGGGGCCAGGCGCCCGACATTCTTTTAATCTCGTTAAGCTCTGGAAGAATGAGGCATGCATTAATTGAATGAGACACAGCATTAATTTTTGCAAGCGACTGCACCATTAGCAGCCAAGAGAGGCTCAGGGTGACCCAAGGGTTTTTCTGGAGGGCCTCTTTTCTGGCTCTGGGTGCTCTAGGAGCTACAGGAGGATATATAGAGAGAGGACACAAGAAGGCATGAGAGTGAGAGGCAGAGCAGAGAGGGAAGACCGGGGTGCTAGGACTCAGTGTCTTCACATTTGTACAAATGCTTTCCTGGCTGATGTAATTCAATGGTGAGGAGACACAGTGCACATCAAGCATCTATTCCCTCCCCTAACCGCCCCGCCAGGCCTGATCACCACATTAACGATCAGTAGTGGCTCTACATCCCTACTTTTAGGTTCTGAGCTTCATGCCTGTCTGTACAACTTGCAGTGCTGCTAGCCTCTAGGGCAGCAATTTTTATTTTTAACTGGTGTGTGCCGTAAGACACATGTAATACCTGGCTATTTCGACAGGGGCATTGACCTCTTTTCCTTAGACTGTCCAGTAAAAGAAGACAACAGCCAACACAACATTAGCCATCTAGTGTGAATGCCCTGTCTCGAACCATAAATATATAGGTCATAATAGAGTTGCATCTTATTGGTCATGTCGCAAAGTAAGTTTGGGTCTGGTTGATTATTGGTATCAGAAATCCTTATATACAAGTACAGGCACCTGATTTTTAAAAAAATCACTTTGGAGCAAAAAAAGTAGGTAATTATTATTTTTTTTTGTAAATAAATCAAAATTATACCTTTTTGGGGGGTCGGATTGGCTAAAAAATAACATATTTTGGTGTACTGCAGAATTTTAGTAATTAGTTTATGTGTGCCATGAGATGAAAAAGATTGAAAATTGCTTCTCTAGGGTCTCATGGCCAGGGGTTTGAGTTAAATCCTTTCTGACTCTCCTCTTGTTAAAAAGGTGAGCTTGTCCCTGACACCAGGAAATGCTACATCTGCCCACAAACCTCAGTATCTCTGATTGCCACCATTCGTGCTTATGAACATTAGTCTGCAGGGTAAAGAGCAAATTCATGCTGATCTAGGTTTTAAGGATCTGAAAATGTTAATTATTGTACTAATGGGTTATTTTTTATTGGTTTAGTTAAAAACTCAGATAAAAGATGTGTTAAATCCTGGAACTGTTGTATGTTTTATTGGCCAAATATGTGGAAGCAGTTCATTGCTGCTACAGAAATTCCAGGTCATTTTGACAATAGTCTACAGCAGCGGTTCTCAACCTGTGGGTCGCGACCACTCTGGGGGTCGAACAACCCTTTCACAGGGGTCGCCTAAGACCATTGGAAAACACATATATAATTACATATTGTTTTTGTGATTAATCACTATGCTTTAATTATGTTCAATTTGTAACAATGAAATTGGGGGTCACCACAACATGAGGAACTGTATTAAAGGGTCGTGGCATTAGGAAGGTTGAGAACCACTGGTCTATATTATGGTTTCCAAACTCTTCAGAATCTTTGATCCAAGGTGATCTCACCCTGAAGCCCAATGTGTACATTTCTATGCTCTGGCTTAAACAGGAAGGGAGGTAAGGCCAGTCCCAACTGGCCTGGCCACACCCTGGAGCTGTTCTGAGAAGCTCTGCAGAAGTCCAGGCGTGATGCTGTAGAGCCTGCCCTCAAGTTGCTTGCTGTGCCCCTCCCCAGTTACTCTCTGCCACCTTGCTTTGTTTTGTTCCTACCAGCAATCATTATCTGATAGTATCGTGCTTGTTTGCTCATTGTCAGAGTCTGCTCTTAGGCTGTCAGCATCCCACCACCCACAGCAGGACTGGCACCCAACAGTGAGGCCCTAGGTCTCTTTGGAACTGATTTGATTTGGAATAAAGGAACAAAGGTAAGATGATGTTGGTAGAAAAGGAGATACTTGCCCTGGTCAGTGTTTCTCCGTGGTTAGAGCAGTGTAAACCCATGGAACTCTTGTATGTTTTATTGGGTTTTTAAGGGTCACGGGTTTGATTCCTGATGAAGGGCATGGACCTGGGTTGCAGGTCCAATCCCCAGCCCAGGTCGGGGCATGTGAGGGAGGCAACCAATTGATGTGTCTCACATTGATGTTTTTCCCTCCCTCTCTTCCACTCTCTCTAACAAATCAATGGAAAAAATATCTTGGGTGAGAATTAACAACAAGAATAAAAGAAAACAAACAAACAAACAAGATAGAAATTGCTTATAATGGGTTTCTTCATTGGCTCTTCCTTCTCTTTATTCCTTTTTCTCTTTCTGTCACTCAGCAAACAGGGTTTGAGCACCCACTGTATGCAGACCCTGTGCTAGTTGCTGAGGTGTGGGAGGAAACAGAAATGGCCTTTGTCCTCATGAGGACTGTCACCTGCCTGTGGAGGAAGATATCAATATATGCAATAAACTAAAGCAATGAGTGTTGGGGTGAAAATTCAGCAGGCTTTACTAAGTGTGGATGAGGGAACTGATTTGGGAGGTGGTGTTGGAGGAAGC